CAATAAATAAATTAATGCTAAATTATTATGATAAATGTGAAATAAATGTACAAACATTACGCTCACACATATTTTACATTACACTTGGTAAATAATTCTATACCTCATCACCTCTATACTTATTTTTGTATGTATTAAAAAAGATAAAACATGAAAACATCTAAAATCTAATCCTCTAACTTTGTGAACCTCGTCAGACGTCCTTGAATTTCCTCACTGTGAATCCTCTCCCCCTCTCTGCCAAATGTCTTCTTGCTTTTAACATTCAGACCGTTTAAAGGCTGAATGGGGCATTAAATAACCCGAGACGTCTCTCGACCTCCATCACCGTCTGGTAGAAATAAAACGGCCGTGATGTAAAACTGATTAAAATATGATCCACCTCCACCTCCACGCCCACGACTCAGTTCCGAGAGAATCTTTTCTGAAGCAGGGTTTTTACGATTAATGCCATGTAGATTGAATCAATGCAGATGTGATGAAGGTGTAAGGCCGCCGCACTTTGATGTGTGGTCTTCAAAGCAACATTTGATAGAGGCTGATGAAGGAGGTTCATTACGCACAAGTGACGCAGTTGCAAAGCAGCGGAAGTCACCGATGATGTCAACACGCTCGTTTCATCCATCTCAATTATAGATCGCTCCTGTGAATTCATGTTTTACATAATTCATCACTGCTGCTGTCTGACATCTACTGGACTCATATTCAGTTTACTCCACTGGTTTATTTAGATTCTTATCCATCACACAGCACCATCAGTTTTCATCCATCAATCCCTCCATCCATCATCCATCCGTCCATCCATCCATCGTCCATCCATCCATCCATTCCTCCGTCCATCCCTCCATCCACAGTTGACAGACAGGAAAAAAAACTTCAACAATTCATGGTTTCAATAATTTTTCAGCGAGATTATTTAAATTTAGAATTTTACACCATCAGAGAAGTGACTGATCGCTTCACACACACACATGCATGGACACACACCCACCCCTTGCCGTTGTTAACACTCTTGTTGTGTCTCCTCCCTCTCTCCTCCTCTCCTCTCCTGCACAGCCCCAGACAAACAGCACCAAAAACAGCATAGTCACCAGCCCCAAAGGAAACGTCCCTTCACCTGCTCTGGTATTTACCTCCCGACCCTCCCTTCACCTGTATGTGTGTGTGTGTGTGTCCCACCGCCTCAGAACCCTTACTCTCCCCCTGCCTCACTCCCCTCTTTCTTCACCTCCTCTCTTGTCTGTCTTTTCGGGTTGTGGTTGATCTTTTCCATCGCCGCTGTCATGGCCACATCTGGAACCAGCAGGTGATGTCACTTCCCCGGCGGCAGGTGGGGATGCTGTGTGACTCGCACGGGGGTTGGTACGCTGCTGCCGTGTCATTTTCTGTGTCAGTGAAAGTTTGCCAAACGGGAACCGGCAGCCAATGCCTGCCAGGACTGTCAGTGTGATTTACCCCCCTCCTTCCTATTTATGCCTGTGTAAAGAAGTGCCCCCCCATCCCCACCCCCCACCACGTGAGCATCCAAAGGGCTGCAGATTGTCCTTCCAGGCAAATAGCACACCAGCTGACTTCTGAGAACCCCAGCTCTTCTGTCGAAGCTGAGAAAATCTGTGAAATCGGCTGATTGGCTGGAATCGTGACCTGCTAGCTCCTGGCACACGGTCACAGAGAGAGAATCTGTGAGTGTTTACAGCTGGGAGGAAAGTTCAGGAGCCAGAGCAGGATTTTTACTGAACATCGTTCCTGCAGGGGAATTATTATCCAGGTTATGTGTGAGGTTAGCTCTGTCACAGCAAGAAGATTCTCTAACCCCAGTTTTGCAAGTTGTCCCTGTGTCTGTGCTCCCACAGACCAACATGCAGATTGGGGTTTACTGGAGACTCTCACCCCTCACCCAATGTGAGCCGGGACTTGCCCCAGCCCTCAAAGGAAACGGGGCTACGCTCTGCACCCCATGTTATTGTAGTGATCCACAGTTTGTCCTATCGACTCTGTTGCTCACTGTCGCCATCATTAATCCGTCAGAGATCTGCACCTCTGATAAAAACAGAAAAGATCTTCATCCTCTTTCTGTTTTTTCCGTGACTCGAATGATCTACTGTGTTGCACGAGTGCGCCGCTAATCACTCAGGGTGAAGTGCTACAGGAAGTGACAGCTTCACAGCATGTGCTCTTTTCTTTCTGCCAAACTGCCTCTCGGAGCTGCTCCGGACTGCTCGCTGTCATTTAAAGACTCATTTAGATCAGCGTTAGTTTTCTGGATATCATTGTACTTCCATTAAAAAATGTAGCAAAGAGTAATTAAATGGTTTATTTGAATTTAGGGACAGAAAAAAAGCTCATTCTTGTTTCCTGATTCTTTTAGCACTGTGAGCGTAATGTACCTGACACATTTTGTGACATTATCAAGTCAGAACAGCACTTTATTTTATTCCAGTGACATAACCAGACCAGTAGCTACTCTGAATAAATCACAACTGAGTCCTAGATGCCACAGTAATGATCTCACCCACCCAGACATGAAACACAGCTGAGGAGTTTGGGTTTTCTCTTTGAGACTCCTGCACACTAAATATATCTGCGTCACACAAATGTTTCAACACCCCTGTACACGTGACGTATTTAGTTGATCTTTGGACTGAATACAACTTAGCTTTTGTTTCTTGGACTCAAATGTAGTAGTAAGATAGTTTTCATTAACCCTCCTTTGGCGGATGCCACAGCGTGCCTGTGTTTCTCTGGCCGGCCAAGAGTCTGAATAATAAATAAAAAAACATCTCACTCTGATCAGAGATATTTTTAGGATGCAGATCTGCCCACAGATTTTCAAACTGCTCAGACTTTTGCATTCGACTGCCACAGATTTTTACAGTGAGTCAGTAACTAAAATAATCCAGTGCTTATAGTCGAAGTAGATATCAGAATATATATATATATAAGTTGCTCGGCTACTCAAACATCCCTGGAACCACAGTGTGAATGTGAGGTCTGATGATGTGACGCCATCAGCACGCGCCCCCCTTCCCACAAACCCTAGTGACTTTGTTCTCGCTTGTCTTCATCTCCCAAGTTGCCCTGGGTGATGGTTGCCCTGACAACACCACCATCATCACCAGGGAGACAGCTGATGATCGGTCATCACAGAGGTGTCACCTCCTGGGGGAGTTTGTAGCAGAGCTGTAGAAATATGTCTCCATTCTGAAAAACCATCAGTACACACTGTACCAGTACACGTGTACAAGTACCAGTATTTTCAAGTAGCCATTAATTGTTCTAAAACTGGAATTAGTCATAGCAGAAACTGTGAACAGATATTTGAACACATGAACTGTAATAAGGTGGAAAACTCCTCCGTTCTCTAACTTCCCGTTTCCATTCAATTCCGTTATTTACGGACTCTTCCCCCTCGTGAAATGCATTTATTTTACGGACGGCCACGAGATCCCATAAAAGCCACCAGTGTGTCCTGATACTGTTTCCTAGTGGAAGCATATGTAATGAGGATAAAATTGGGCCGAGCACAGAACCCTGAGGAACACCGTGGTTAACTTTGGTGCGCCCAGATGACTCAGAAAGTCATTAGTGTCTCCGTGCTGCGATGAGCTCTAGGGTGGTTGGGAGGGTGGTGACTAAAACCTCCTGATGATAGTGATAGAATGATTGTATTCAGTTAAGTCCTATTTATTAGGGGTTTCTTTAAGCAACTTTGTAGGAATAGGATCTGAGATACAAGTTGCAGGTTTAGACGATGAGATTGTTGAGGTGGAGCTAGTTATCCACTACTTTGAAACGTCCTCGGTTCGATCCCTGGCAACCAGTCCGCATTCCCAAATGACCTCGGGCAAGATACTGAACCCAAGTGCTGATATAGTAGAGATGTGTGTGTGCGTGAACGGGTGAAGAAGCTGGAAAAAGCCATTTATAAAAGCAGTAATGCTTAGTTTTTACATAGTTGATGGCAGAAGAAGACAACAAGAAGTAAAGAGGTTAGGTGGCCAATCCATAGGAGGAACTCAGCTGATTCCATACACACAGTTCTGATAAATAAACAGCCATGTTGGACTGAACTGAAAGGGATCAAACAGCAGAACGACCTGGTTTTCATCTTGTGGAGCATCTGAAGTGTTTTCGCTGGTTGTGTCTTCGTCTTGTCAGACGTCGAGGCTGGTGTTTGTCTCTCTAGAACATGTTTGTTTGTTTAATTTAACAACCCTCTTGATTCGTTACATATTTGCATTGTGTGACAACAGACACGACACAAGTCATATTTAGAATTAATCATGCATGCACAGCCGGGCAGCGCAGAAATAGATGCATGTTCAGCAAAACCCTGAGAAAGACTGTCACAGTTTTCCTCAGTGTGTGTGTTTGTGTGTGTGTCTGTGTGTGTGTCTGTGTGTGTGTTTGTGTGTGTGTATCCACAGAGAACAAAACTGACTCCAAATTACAGTTTCAGCTCATCCACCCACTCTGATTTTTCCCTCTCGTCTTTCTTCTCCACCCACCTTAACAAGCACTTTCTCTTCATCCAACATTCATGTCACCTCTTTCTTCCTCTTCGGCCATTTTCTTTTTATGCAATTTGTTTTTTCTCTTTCTCTCCCTCCCTCCCTCTCTCTCTCTCTCTCTCTCTCTCTCTCTCTCTCCGTTTTCTCTTCTTTTTCGTTCATTCCATCTCTCCTCCTCCTCCTCCTGCAGGAACCTCAGACAACCGTCATCCATAATCCAGTAGACGGAACAAAGGTACACATCATTCCTCACTCCTGACCTGCTCTTCTTTGTCATTCTCCTCCTCTTCCTCATCTTCTCGTGCCTTTTGATCCCTCTGTGTGAGCGCACCACAGCGTTGGTTGACTAATGTGTATGTGCACGTGTCTGTGTGTGTGTGCTGCTATAGATTAAATACCTCAGTTAAATTACTTTATACTTTGAAGAGAACAGGAGGAGGGAGGGAGGGAGGGAGGGAGGGAGAGAGTGTTGATGATCACGGCTAAAGACGAAGGAGAAACAACTTTTTGGGCTTTTGAGCCGAACACAGGTTTTGGGTGATCTTTACATTTAACGTCGGGTCCGTCCTCAGAGTAAAGTCAACTGGTTATAACAGCAGCTATATAGGAAATCAAAAAGTAATTTATAAGAATACTGAACTGAGTACAGTTTAAGTTTGTATGTTTTATTTCTCTCTCCCTCACACATGTTCAACACTTTTCTCTCTTCAGCAGTCAACAGGCAGATCCTGCTTTGAAACCGCTCTTGTGCTTTTTGCTCGCGAGGCTTTTCGTGCACATGTGCACTGCTAATGGGGTCAATGGGTTTCTCAACTCTACACGTAGGGGAATTTAGGCTCGTTTAATCTGCTAATTGGAAATTAGAAGCCAACCTCTCCTCTGGTGAACGCCTGTGAAGAGTGAGACGACCAGGTGGATGGACCAGTAGCTCGCGTCTCCTTCCTATGATGACCAGCAGAGGATCAGTTCTGCTTGTGTTGTTGGAACAGATGGATGGAGCCCATCCCACTGAGTTTTCTATTTCAGCAAGAGACAAGACAAGATCCCCCTGTGGAGGGAAGACGTCCTTTGTCCACACGTTGTGATGCACCACACATATACACACAGTAATAGAAGAAAAGAGCTTTCAGGTCCAGGATAAAAAAGTCTAATATGGATTAAGTGTTGATGAGGTGGGGTATCGGGCGGATGGGTTAGACGGTTTGACTTTACGTTTCCAGAGGTGGGATGATTGTGACTAATGAACTTTGTCAATTGTTTGGCATCTGCTTATGGTTGAATTCCACATTAATCAGTGTTGATGCGTCTTTGGTCCTCTCGGATTTAGTTCTGTGAAGACGTGAGTATGCCCCCTGCTGGCTTTTGTTCTGATTGTGTGTTTACCGCTCCTCTGACGTGCGTCTTCATGTGTATTCAGCACAATTTCTGTGCTACTCATAGACCGTAAACAAAGATGGACGACGCATCTCCGATCCCTCCCACTAAAATATTTCGGATATGAACACGGCTTCACTTTGGGGAGGTGTCACGTCGTCCATCTTTAAAAACATGCTCTATGTTGCTGCTATGTTCCAACCCCAAACTGACTGATTGTGTCTGACCTCCAGGAGTCATCAGACAGCAGCAACACCACCGTGGAGGACGAGGACGTGAAAGGTAAGAGAAGTAACAAGTATTGATTATTGATAAGAGATCGCTGCCAACAAAAGGCACTGTTCTGCTGCAGCCAGGCAGTGAACAACTAACTCCCAATGAGCCGCCTGTCCTTGTCAGAAATATTCTTCTAATTCAACACAACAGAAGCTTTAACGTCTTTGTGAAGGTGGATTTTGACAAGTTCTGCTGTTACCATTGAGAAAAGAAATGGATTCTTAACTTCTCTTTACAGTGAAAGAGGTTATTTTGTTACCGACATAATTGTTGTGCCTGAATGAGTCTGACTTGAATGAAACTGAAATTACAGTTAAACAAGAGAGCGTGCAGAATGTCCCAAAACCTCACGGCTGCTGGAGCTTCTTCTTTTGCTGCACCATCACGAGCCTCAGGGTGAAAATGAAATGTTGGGATGAAGCTCTCTTATTGTGACCTACTTTGACTTTTTAATGGCCTATTATGGGATGTTTCTCTCTCTCTTTCTAACTGAGCCACGTGTGTCATCTTGTTTCTTGACTATTTTAAAAGTTTACAGGTTCAAAGTGCAGCAAAAAATGGCTAAATATTTTTTTTTAATTAGTTTGAGTATAAACACACACATATTTATGATCACAACAATATGAACTAAATGAATATTTCATGTTGTTAAATTTAGAGTTATTGGAACGCTTAATGTGTTGAAGGTGCAAATGTCACCAGCATGGCTACCAGGCCCAGACAGCTGACTACTTACTGACCCCTCATGGACTCTGGCTGTATTACTTCTGCTGGTTTGTGTGTGTGTGT